CAGTCTGGTCTACAGAGTGAGTTCCAGGACAGTCAGGGCTACACAGAGAGACTCTGTCTCAAACAAACCAACAAAAAAGCTGGGTGCTGCTTGGCAGGTAGGAGGAGCGTTGCCAAGTTCCGAGGCTGCAGAGCCTCTGACCCTTGCTTTACCCATGCAGCACAGCTTTAAGGCTGTCATCCACTTTGCTGGGCTCAAGGCTGTGGGCGAGTCGGTGCAGAAGCCTCTGGATTATTATAGAGTTAACCTAACAGGGACCATCCAGCTTCTGGAGGTAAGAGGAAGGGGACACAGACCTCAGCTTGGGACCCAGGCAGTCTGGCATGCCGGCCACAGCAGGGGCCTGTGTGGGAGCACCAGACGCAACCCAAGCTATATTATCTCGGACACATGCCTTTCTTTACCTCCCAGCCTGTTTCCCTCTCTGTAACTGAGCGTGCCCGTCGCCTCAGCCCCACCCTCCTAGGGTGGAGTAACAAGTGGGACTAATTGGTGAGGCACAGGCCACTGACCCTCCCCTCCACGGCCAGATCATGAGGGCCCACGGGGTGAAGAATCTCGTGTTCAGCAGCTCAGCCACCGTGTATGGGAATCCCCAGTACCTGCCTCTGGATGAGGCCCACCCCACCGGGGGTTGTACCAACCCCTATGGAAAGTCCAAGTTCTTCATCGAGGAGATGGTCCGGGACCTGTGCCGGGCAGATTCGGTGAGGACCTCTTGCTCCAGCTTTCATCCCATTCACTTTGAGGCCAGGATTAGGACCCTGGGCACTCTCACCACAAGGAGACAAAGGCTTAGAAGTGACAATACCCTGCCCAAGGTCATAGCAGCTAGTATGCAGGTGCCATCCCTCGCTCATGCATAGAGAACACAGAACAGACATGGGTGAGGTAGACGGCTGTGGAGAGTTGGGACTGTGTGTGCCCTGGCCCTATTGTCTGACCTGCACCACACAGGCCTGGAACGCAGTGCTGCTACGCTACTTCAATCCCACGGGTGCCCACGCCTCTGGCCGCATCGGCGAGGATCCCCAGGGCGTCCCCAACAACCTCATGCCCTATGTCTCCCAGGTAGGGGGATGATCCTAGGGTGCACTGGAGTACCACTGGTACCAGGGCCCTTGAGGAAGCTGACCTGACCTCTGCCCTAGGTGGCAATTGGGCGACGAGAGGCCCTGAATGTCTTTGGTGGTGACTATGATACAGAGGATGGCACAGGTGAGTCTAAGAGTCAGAGAAAGGAGGAAGGCTGAAGGGGGACAAACTTCCCGTCTAACCACTTCCTCCCCAGGTGTAAGGGATTACATTCATGTGGTGGATCTGGCGAAGGGCCACATCGCAGCCTTGAAGAAGCTGAAGGAGCAATGTGGTTGCCGGGTAGGAAGCCAGGGAGGGAAAGGGTTGGAATCCAGGGCAAATGTGGCCTGTGGGGTGGATGAGACACCCATACAACATCCCGTTCTCTTGGGCAGATCTACAACCTGGGCACAGGCACAGGCTACTCTGTCCTGCAGATGGTCCAAGCAATGGAGAAGGCTTCAGGGAAGAAGGTAGCCCTAACCGTGCAGTAGGCACCCCTGCACAGCCGTCTCCTCCAGTCACCTTGAACTTCTAAGAGCCTGTGACACAGCTCTTGCCGACAGTCCCTGAGGCCCAGGGCCTGTTCAGCTAAGTGGCCACTACCTCCTTTACAGATCCCATACAAGGTGGTGGCACGGCGGGAAGGTGACGTGGCAGCCTGTTATGCCAACCCCAGCCTGGCCCATGAGGAGCTGGGCTGGACAGCAGCCTTGGGGCTGGACAGGATGTGTGAGTGTCTGCCTAACCTGGAGGGGGGACGAACTAGCTATAAGGGCAATTCTGCTGTGGGCTCTCCTCGGGCAAGCTCTGACCACCCATGTCTGCACAGGTGAAGATCTATGGCGCTGGCAGAAGCAGAACCCTTCAGGCTTTGGAGCACAGGCCTAAAGACCTCCTTACGAAGGACCAAAAAGGAAGAGGAGCAGTTGCCTGCTTTCCAGCATCCACAGAACCCTGTACCCTCATGCTCTGGGGCCAAGCTGAGGCCACCCTACCTCAAATGCCAGCTCAGTCCTCCAGGCAGGAGACCTGTCTGGCTTCACTAAGCAGAAAGGAGCCTGGGTCTTTCCAGCCTATTTTCCCCATGGTCCAGGAGCTCACAGGACCCTGGAGCCTATGTGGGCCAGCGGTCTGGGACCATAGCCTCCCCTGGGCACTAACTTATACTGCTATGATTGAACTTTCCAAAGTATTTAAAATAAAAATGTTTTCTTATCCGGGAGCAGATTCTCACAGTCAGTCACTATGCTAGCTACATCAGGCAGGCCTGTGAGTTGAGGAAGCAATTTCTTTAATTTTATTGGAATCCAGGACAAAACAAGAAAAACACCCAAAACCACATGGAGACAGAAGACAAGACACAACCCCTCCCCCCACCTCCCTGGCCCTAGAGTGGGGACATAGTGGGGGTGAGACAGCGGGAGCAGGGGCCCTTGAACCTCAATCCAGCCCTGCAGGCTCCAGGCCTGCAAGGAAGGGCCATGGGGAGGCAGGGCCCAGCCCCCTTGGGGGGAGGAGCTAAGGGGAGGCCCTGAGGGACTCTACCTCCACACCAACTCGCCTGCACAGGAGCAGGCAGCCCACAGTAGCAAGGGCCCCGGCCATGGACACATTCGTGACAGAGAAGCAGCTGCAGTGAGGCAGGAGAGACGCGATTATCCGGGCAGAATCACTGGGGTGGGGGGGCCCATGAGGGCCCCACGGGCCAAACCCTGAGGTCGCAGGAGGGGGCCCAAAGCGGGGCTAGTGAGTGAGGTCCTGAGTGAGTGGGTCAGCAGCTGGGCCCCTTTCTCCCGCTGCCTACAGCCCCTCCAATACTGCTGCTGGGGCCCGCCTCCGGGGGAGTGGATAAGAAAGCAGCCCACCCCTGCTGCTGACTTCCAGATGACTGAGGCCAGCAGGAAGGCCTGGCCAGCCTCGGCCACCTGCCCCAGAGGCCTGTGGGAAGAAGACAGGATGGGAAGAGAAGGGACAGGGGCTCGACCGGCTCAGATCCAAGATGGTGCGGTGTTGTTTGCTGGGTCCCTCATGAGCTGGGGACCGCAATGGGAGCCAGCAACTAGTTAGACCGGAGGCAGGAGCTTCTCCAGAAATTCCTTTACAGCTGCCATCTCCTGAGATGAGGGGAGATTGTGAGGCTCCTTGTCGGAGGAAGGAGGGAGAGCATAGGAGCAGGCCATCCCCACTGACCTGAGGACAGGAGCTGTGCATGACACCTGGGTATGTCTTGAACTGGACCCTGGCAGGTGTGACAACAGACCGTAGCTTCTCAGCTGTCAGGGCCCCGAACCGAACAGGTACCATGGGATCCAGCTCCCCATGGCATTGAAGGATGGCCAGGTCCTTGGCACTACCATTGGCTGCCTGTGGGCCAGAAAGAATTTTCAAGGCAAGGTCAATGCTACATGCAGCGCAGTGCCCGAGCCACAGGGACCCTCAGGAGAGGAGGAACTTGTGGGATACTCACTTGAGGAAAGTTCCGATGCAGAGGCAGCCAACAGCTCAATGCCACGATGCCAGCCAAAGGGTGGGGGCAGGTAAGGGCTGTATAGAGGGACAGGGCCCCGCCCTGGGGAGACGAGAATAATAGGTCAGGAGGGAACAGCTCACACACCCAGGCCCTCCCCCTCATACCCCCCTCACCTGCGAAAAGCCACCCAGGACGATTCGATTGGCAGGGATCCCATTCTTCATCTCATGTTCAATCAAAGCCTTGACTGGAGGGGTAGGGGAAGGCGTGACTGGGTGGAGGAAGCTGCTGGAGGCTTGAAGGGAGCACACTGCCCAGAGCTTTGGGAAGGGAGAGGTGGGGAGGGAACAGGGAGGGCTGGGGCCTTACTGTTCTCTGCTGCCTTCTTGATGCCAACTTCATCCTCTGGGGCGTCTGGACTCAGCCCCATCAGGTCAAACCTGGGCAAGCAGAGGCAGCAGATTTTGGAAGACCTGGCCAGCCCCTGGGGCTCCCTCAGTTCCCATCTCTTTCCTGCCCCAAACTCACCAGGAAGGCATCACCATCTTCATGTTGAGTGTCACAGGGATCCTGGGCCTGTGGAGGGGTGGCCAGAGGTCTCAGGAGGGATAAAGCATCAGTAGAGAGCCTGGGGATGGGCAGAACTGCCCTTGGGGGCCCCCCTCCCAGCAGGCAGGGCCTGTGTTTCAAGTGTTGCCAGGCAACCTGCCACGTGGGGCTGGTGGGGCTGAAGGCTGGGGTTGGGGCATCAGCGGTGAGGATGGAGAAGCAGCGACTAACACCAAGTGACAGGGGTCCAGCTCAGAGGGTGAGTACTTGCAGAGGCGGGGGGGGGGGGGGGGGGGG